ATGTGATTGTTACAATTGGAACTTAAAGTACCAAATAGAAATTAGTTGTATATTTTAAGGTGTAAAAAGTAATTTACCCTTTATTTTATTAGGTTTATAGTACATTTATTTTATTTAATATAATTAAAAATGTGTTTTCACTCGCTTTTTCTTCACGCATTTTATCACCAATCTCATGAAATTGTTTAACAATTTCAATATCTCTATACACCTAAATATTCAAATTTAAAAGAGTCACAGAAATTAAGACACACCCTCTTTCTCATTCACAAGCAAACATCCCCCACTTGCTTTATCACACACTCTCTCTCTCTCTGGACTCTAATCCGACACAGAGTAGCCAGTTGTCTTGTTTTTATGACTCATTCAGACGCTCTCAAATTTAAAATTTTTCAATTACTTTTTTGTTTTATTATTCACCGCTAAACCATTAACGCGATGAGCTAATACTAGATTGTCCATCATAAATTGCTAAAAGATCTATTAAAATACAACAAGTTTTTTTTAAATTAATGATAAAAAATTAAAAAATAAATGTACACGATGCGAATACTTATACATTCTTTATTGTTAATTTTACACAAAAATCAATTTATGTATCATCAGTAATTTCTCCTCTTTCTAATTGACAAAGTTGGTGTGTGAGAGAGGGGCAGACAAGCGGGAGAGAGACAACATAAGCAAAGGTCCCTTTGGTCAGGTACTGAAGAACAAAGTGAAACAAGAGTTTTGAGTAAATACACATTCACACCCATTTAATGGCAACTTTGAAATTGGAAAAGGATAGCTCGAAGTTGGAGCGGTTTCAGACACTATCCTGACACTCTCCCAACATNGTTGTACCTAAAGAAAGACTTAAAAAATTGTCATGCAAACAGTGTCACCAAAGAGAGACATAAAATAATGACAAATGGGGGGTCCAATCAATGATATCATGTAATGCCCCCCTTAATAATGCTAAAGTAGTATTAGTAAAAAGTGACAATAATAGATTGACTATAAATAATGACAATATATATTTGTCTACTCAATGAGTTGCAGCTAAAGAGGGACTCAATAAATTGTCATGCAAACAGTGTCACTAAAGAGAGACACGAGATAATGACGATAGGGGTCCAATCAATAAGATCATATAATACCTTCTTGATAGTGTCCAAGTAGTGTCAGTAAAGAATGACAATAATAGATTGACCTTAAATGATGACAATATATATTTGTCCATTTAAAGAGTTGCACGTAAAAAGGGACTTAAAAAATTGTCATGTAAACAGTATCACCAAAGAGAGACACGAGATATTGACAATGGAGATTCAATCGATGACATCATGTAATACTCCCTTAATAATGCCCAAGTAGTGCCAATAAAGAGTGACAACAATAGATTAACGATAAATAATAACAATATATATTTGCCCACTCAAAGAGTTGTTTCTAAAAAGGACTCGAAAAATTGTCATGCAAATAGTGTCACCAAAAAGAGACACGAGATAATAATAATGGGGTCCCAATCAATGACATCATGTAATGCTCTCTTGATAGTGTCCAAGTAGTGTCAGTAAAGAGTGACAACTAAACTATTATTTGATGTTACTTTTTTTAGTTGAGTGTGTTACTGTTTGATGTTACTATTTTTTTGTTGAACGTGTTACTGTTTGATATTATTATGTGTGTGTGTGTGCGCGCGTGCGCTTTTATATATATATATTTATATATATATATATATATATATATATATATATATATAAATAAAATTTCAAAATTCAAATGATACACAAAAATCAAAAGAAAACTTGAAAATTTCACATTCAAATATTTAAATATTGGAAATATAAAAGTTGTTAATTAGATATGCACAATTTATGGTAAGAATAATTATGAAATATATTTTTGAAAGAATTTGAAAATATTTTAAAATGTGTATTTAATGACAATTATTTGATAAAAAAAAGACTTAAAGGAGCATAAGTTAGGATGTAGTACTTAAGGCAAAGAAGTTTTAAAAAATATATTCATATCTCATTCTCTCTTGAAATTATGGAGTCTTCTAAAATTAAGGGACCGTCCAAATTTTTTTACTTCCATAGTTGGGCCGGTCCTGCCCGGTCACGGGCCTAAAATTGTCGTAACAGGTCAAAGACTATTTTGTGGGGGGACAACTTCGTCTTTTCAATATGTGAGGGCACCCGGTTCAGCAATTAATTCTTCCTCGTTCAAAATCAACATGACGTGTGGATGCCCCCGACCGAATGAGTCAAACTCGCGAGCCGTTCGGCGGCCGTAGCGCGGTCGTCTCCACTGCTGACTCAATTTCAATTTACAAGAATGTCCACTATTCATTTATTATAGGGTAATCTATAATTTTTAACCTTAAAGTATACTCATAATTTTTATTTGATCTATGAATTTTTAATTGAAACAACTAAATCTTTGAAGTTTTAACTGAGTTTTGTGCTCCGTTTGGTACAATGAAAAAATATAAAGATAAAAAGTTAAAATGATGAAAAATTAGAGAGATAAATAAAAAATCATATTTGGTAAAGAAAAAAAATAGGAAGAATGAAAAAGTTGATAGATTAGCTTTCGTCCTAATTTACCAAAATCAATCCCTCTAAAATCAAAAGAAAAATAAATGAAAAGTTAATTATTTATGTTGAAATGTATCTTATTTGTCTATATATCTTTTGATAAATACATGTATTATGTATACATTAATTTTAAAAATATAATAATAAAATATGTATTTATATATATATATATATATATATATATATATATATA